TAACCTAAACAATACTCTTATGGTAGGGGAGCCTTGGTGGCTCAGTCAGTTGAGTGTCCGACTCTTGATTTTGGCTCAGGTCATGATCTCAGGGTTGTGGGATCGAGCCCTGCATGGGGCTCCGAGATCAGCGAAAAGTCTGCTTGAGATTCTCTCTCTCTCCCCCTCCCTCTCCCTCTGGCCCTCCCCACCGCTTTCTCTCTCGAAAATAAATCTTTAAAAAAAAATACTCTTATGATAGCTCTCAAAAAACATGTCTGTGCCCTAACATATTTTCTTTTTTTATCTTGAGAAATTGAAAGATATGACTACTACTTATTTAGTTAAATATGTGGAAACTTCATGCTCTAACATATATAATTTCCTAGATACGGTTGTGGCTGTAGCCCTTCAGAATGTCTGTCTGTCTGAAATCTGTAGACCAGACACTTACCATATGTTAAGTATTCTGAAGAAATAGATAAATGGGTATTAACATAAAGGGAGAATCATGACAGAATTACAGCCCAAGAGTTAGTATGCAGGATAGGGTAATAAATCCTAGACTCTGAACTTGCACTTATTAGTTGAATGAACCTTAATGTGTCATTTTACTTCTTTGAGCCTCAGTGGTGGTTTTTGGAATTGAATGCAACATTATCAGAAAGATTTTTAGCATAGTTCCTAGCACGTAGCAACTGCTGTAGAAATGATCTTTTCAGACCTGTCTTGCTCACACTAAAATTTGTTTCCTGCGATTTGACTAGCCTACTTTAAAGTTTATTGTCTCTATGACAGAAATGAACTATCCCCTATCTCTAGTAATAAGTAAAACAAGTGTGATTTATTACAGCTAGATATATTAAAATTTTTTTGTTAGAATTATCAGTAATCATTTTTTAATATATTTTTTAAAGATTTAATATATTTGTGAGCTCATGAGCAGAGAGGGAGACAATCTCAAGCAGACTCGGCGCCAAGCACATAGCCCAGTGTGGGGCTTGATCTCAAGACCCTGAGATCATGACCCGAGCCAAAATCAAGAGTTGGCCACCTAACCCTCTGAGCCACCCAGGCGCCCCAGTAATCATTAATTTAAATCACACATTGTAACTGTTTGGATTTCCATGACCCAGAAAATATTTTCATCTTTTATACTTCCCAAATGCACATATTCTTGTAAACCTCCATTCACATGCCGGAGAGACGTTCTCCCTTACTTAGGGTGGATGAAATTACAGAAGTATTGAAAATAGGCTTGTATGTCCAGATGATCATTTCAGTGCCCCTTCCTTGTCATTCACTCACCTACCGTCTGTCTCGGTTGCTAGTTTGATAGAAGAGGCCTTAGGGTGAGTACCTCTCTTCCAGCTTTGTCCCCCATTCACCAAAAGACACAGTGTTAAATTAAACCTTTGCATTTGTCGATGGCTCCGTATGGTTTTTAAATCATGTTAAATGGCTCTCATTAAATCATTCAGAAATGTAATGGTAAACAGGATGATGTTTAATTTTAAGAGGGAGAGAGAGAATCTCAAGCAGGCTCCATGCCCAGCACAGAGTCCAACACGGGGCTCAGTCTTACAACCCTGAGATCATGACCTGAGCCAGAATCAAGAGTTGGATGCTTAACTGACTGAGCTCCCCAGGCGCCCCTCAATATCTTTTTTTTAAAGATGAGAAAAGGAGAAGGAAAGAGACTAAGGTTACTTGTCCAGGGTCCTAAGGCTGATGATTGATCTTCTCAGAACTGGGACTCAGGTCTTTATGTTCCTTTCCCCAGTTCTTTATACACTGTCACTGAGCTTTCAACAGAATCCTTGATACGGCTATATAAAGCCACTTGATCTGATAGTTTAAATGCTGCTGCTTCAACTTTCTAATCATATGTAAGGCAAAGAAGCCATGAAATATAAGACTGCTAGATTTGATGATCCAAAATTTAGAATGGATTCATGACAAAATCACCATAAGCAGATACAAACACTAATGAACTAGGCTGCGTAGGGAGGGGAGTAGGATTGTAAACCACATAGAACAGAGCACCCATCTTAACTACATATCAATATGAAAATAAGCTGAACCTTCCTCATAAGAGAAATGCAAATTAAACAATGAAATACCATTTTTTGACCTATCATTTTTTTCAAAGATCCATGTTTTATTATACATTATTGGTAAGAAAATGAAAGAAGGACACTTGCACACGTTGTTGGCAAGAGTGTAAAATGGTACGTAATCTATGCAGGATATTTTGGTAATATCTGTCAGAACTTTAAAAGCACCCTGTGACTCAGTTTATCCTATGCCTAGACATCAGCCCTATAGATACAGTTGAATGCACAGACACATACAAGAGTATTCAACTTAATTTTTAAAACATACAAAACAAAAAGTTTAAAAAGTACATCAAGAAAATTTGAGGGGGTACCTGGCTGACTCTGTCAGTAGAGCTTGGGACTCTTCTTGTGATCGTGAGTTCAAGCCCCATACTGGGTGTGGAGATTAAAAACAAAAAGTTGAGGAATATTTAATCTTTCACTTGGTACAAATGTGTATGATTGTACCACAAATTCCTGACATTAAACCTAACTAGTCAATTTTTTAATTTCCAAATATAAAGGATTGTTAAAAATTCTTCTAGATTGCAAATTCTTTGAAAGCATGCACTGTGTACACTTCCTCATCTTTGTACCTCAGAGGTGCTGCTTTCTAGTGGGTACTCAATGTTAAATAATTTGGTACAGAAAATGGAATTGAAAAGTGCTTTGGTTATTACTAGATTACTTAAGAGATCCAGGTTCTTATATTAGTCCACATACATCTGATTGGAACACTGAAAAAAGAGAAGTTTTCTATTTTTCTATTTTCCTATACCTTAGTTTCCCCATCTTAAAAAGGGGGTGGATGGGTGGTTCCTAGAAAGGTCCCTTCTAGCTCTGTTGTTCTAATGCTTCTGTTTCTAGCGCTTGAAGATGGCTATATTCTTCTACTCTTAGTATTCTATAGATTAGTAGCCCCAAACATTGCACACTGAGTTTTAAGTGTATATGTATGAATTAAGTATGTCAATCTGTGTATTAGTACAAACATACAGTTCTTTTAAAACTGGAATTTTCTTCCCATGCATGTGTAGTTTTGTGCACTCCTGGAGTTTGTATACCCAAATTTGGAGTACACTCTCTAGAAAAGTAACTTTAATTTTTTGAAGGTCTTAAAAAGAACAATGTAGTTATTAAAGTATTATTCTCTGATAAATATACCTTTGTCAATCAAACAGCAAAAATCGGGGTCTTTTAGTTTTGTTTTTTAGCAAAAAATTGTTATCACCATTTGTTGCTTCATGCCATCATCTTCTTTTGGCATTGATAGTTGATCTACCAAGCTATCTTAATAAATATATTTGTATTTTTATAGCTTGCCTTAGAGTTTCTCGAAGAGGTATATATACAAATAATACAAATACGAAGGCTAGCAGTCCTTGGAAGAAGGAAAAACATTACTGCTTTATCTGAGCTTTGCTAACTTGACAAAAAATCTTGAGGGCGCCTGAGTGGCTCAGTTGGTTAAACTGCCTTCGGCTCAGGTTATGATCCTGGAGTCCTGGGATCGAGTCCCACATCGGGCTCCCCCTTCTCTGTGGGGAGCCTGCTTCTCCCTCTGCCTGCCACTCCCCCTGCTCTGTGTCAAATAAATAAAATCTTTAAAAAAAAAAAATCTTGAGGTCCATGAGGCCCTCAATCTAATAACAGTAACCAATACAAATATTTTCAAAAATCAGTTAAGATTTCTGATATGAATGAGAATATTGTATTTTGGATCTTTGTCATTTATCAGGCCATGATTTACTTTAAATATATTCTTATTTATTCACCTGTTTTTTTGGCTTTTTAAGTGATTTTCTATTTTTGATGAGTAACCTTTTAAGCTACTTGTAGTTTGTCATTTTGCTTCATATCTATGAAGCTGAAACTATGTTATTCAGTGAAACCGGGACCATTTGCCTGGGGAGAACTCAGTGGCAACATGATAGCCATTGAAATATGCTATAACAGGTTAAATCTCTCTGGTTTATTGAATGGCAAATGAGTCTGTTTTTGAGGTTGCAAGGAAAGATCAGGAAAATGCTACTGAGGTCTGGAGGAAGCTGCCACTTGTAACAAGTCACTTAAATACTACATGCCTATTTCCTCTTCACTAACAGAAAGAATCCTAGACCTGTCATTGGAGAAAGGTTAGGAATGATGCAGTCCAACGAAACTAATCAGTTAACCATCAAATGAGCTACTGTACAGCAAGCTATTAGTTTATAAACATAAGGATTCACATCAGAAAACGTGAATAGACTATCATGAATATTATTTAAGATTCAGGACTACATGTCCATTACATGTGGACTAGCTACTCTTTGGATTCTCAAGTTTCTGTTTCTAAAGATTCTCATCAGAGCTAGTAGACAAGCATAAGGGAAAGAGGAAGGACCGTATTCCAATTCGTTGGGTGACTCTAACTTCAGACATATTTGTACTTGAGTCTGAGACTTACTTTTATTGTTTATCATCAGGATAAGTATACCAACCTTGCTTGGTTGTTAGGAAATTTAAATGAGATAATACATGTGAATGTGCCTAGAACATGGTAGACTTTCAAAGGTTAATTAATTCCTTCTTGTCTCAAAGTGGCTCTGATCCTGGTAAGTTAAAGGACAAATGAAAAAGGTTGAATCCTGCCAAGTTCAAGAGGTTAAATGTCATGAGTATACTTATGGAATCCATATACACAGTGGTTTTGTTGTCCAGTGCTATCTGGGTGACGTCTTAAGTACCTGACTATATGTAATGTATTCAGTTCAGTGAGGAGGCTGGAGCTAAGAAACAACAAAACTCTTGTACTTTCAGGGTAATAAAATGCCCTATCTACTCTGTTTAGAGGTCCAAACAATAAAAATGACTGAATTTTCTTTTACAAGGTTGATAATTTCTTTGAAGTTAAACTAAAATGCCTTGCACTTTTTTTTCCAGCATGCTACAAATGAAAACCGATGAGAAATTGAATTTGTCTGATGGGAATACAGCAAGTTGCCCTTTGAGCCCCATTAAGATGTGCCTTAATCGTCCCAGTGAATGGAATCTGAGTTTGACAGCAGCATCTCTAGCGAGCTGTACAGTTAACCAAAACCTCAAAAGTGAAGAGAAATAGATTGCAGTTCTTCTTGCACTATCCTTATTTTGTACGTCAGTATTCGTTCTGCATTTATCAATTGATCTTGAAATATTTCTAGTCCTGTGATGTCTTTATATTAAATGTAATCATGAGCATTAATCATTTGGATTATATTCTTTGTATGTTTTTTTACGTTTTACACCAGACCATTGTGGAATTTTGCAGTACAAATGGATTTTGATGTTTCTCTTTTTAAAGGTATTTTGTGAATTTTTTATGCCCTACGTTTAAATACATAATTGTCCCCAGTTTTATTTCTGTGCACAAAGTTTTAATATATACTGCATTATGTGATTTAGAAGCTAGTATTGTAAAGATTTGTGATGACCTGACCATGAACAGTTGTATAATAGGTGGATACCAACTACCTCGAAGCAAACTGGTAAAAGGCAAAGGTATCTCTTAGAAGTTTATCTCTTTCAAAGTTATATATGTATAGAAAAATTGATCATAGTTTATCAAGTAGCATGTTTTCATTCATAGAATTTGAGCTGATCGGTTCTTTCTCTGTACTTTTAGACCTATAAAATCTGTGGGCTGTAAGATCAGTGGCACAATTGCATGTTTACTCTTCAGCAAAGCTGTGCCTCTTGCAGACAAGAATACTGTTTGGTGTAAGTTACCAGTTTTGAATGAAAAATGGTAAATGGATTTACATCTATTGATTTTACTGTATTTTAGCCAATTAAGTGGAAAATGTCTTTTAAAAGCAGGATAAAATCCCTTACCTTTCACTATAATAGTGTGAAAGCATAGCTTCAGCAGTGGCTACGTGACTGTGTCTAAAACTTGAATACTGGACAGTAAGAACACTAAAGGTTTGGTGCTTCGTTTGTTTCTCCCGCGCCAGGGAACAAAAGCTCTGGTGTGGCGGTCCGTGGCGGTCCGTGGCAACGCAGCTCCTTCCCCTGCAGAGCCTGGCTGTGGGGCCGGTGGGGTTTAGGCTGAGGTGCTCCTAAACACCTTTCCTTACAGCACATTCCGCGTCCACGTTAAGTCCTATTCTCCCTATTTCTCCCTATCCCTCACCCCAAAACATTATTTTTAAAGTGACAGGGATTTGACAAAATAAGACTTCCATAAGGAATTTGAAGCACAGGAAGACACAGAGCCAACAGAATGAAAAACAATCATCTATTTTTTATTGTTTTATGCCACATCTGCCTTTTCCTTTTGCTTAATAAGCGTTTACTGTGTAACTTTCAGACTCCTTTTATATTTCTGAGCTCTATAAAGCACATATATGTATGTAATACAGCAATTTGGTTCTAAAAAGCACAACAATCTTAATTTAGCTCTTAGAACATCACCTTAAATAAATGGCCTAAATAAACCTTAAAAAGCACAATTATTATTAAAACAGATCCAACGTCAGGACACTTCTATTCTGGATAATAAAGAGAAAAGGTAATCAGAGGGATAAGAAACCATGTTTTGCTGGGTGTTGCAGACGGAAAGAGGACTGAGTTCATACTCTGTTCCACACGTGAGGCAAATGCCAATTTGGGAAGAAAAATGAGATTGACAATGAAGAAACAGTGCTCATAAACTAGTATATAAAGGACTTCCTGTCATGCTTTTCCTACTAGAATTGTCTTTTATTATCCACAGTATTTATTTTGTTATGCCAAAAACGTAGAAAGCAACTCCATAATTAACATGTATAAGTGGGGGCACCTGCCTGGCTCAGTCAGTCGAGAGAGCATGTGACTCTTGATCTTGGGGCATGAGTTCAAGCCCCATGTTGGGTTTACTTAAAAAAAATTACTTAAAAAAAAAGTATATGTGAACATCTCCTAACCCAAGAAACGCCATCAGAAACGTAAGCAAACTAGAGCTCTCATACGCAAATATTTTAAGAAGAGAAATTATCCATTCAGATAGCATTACCAAAATGTTTTTAGTGTAAGAATCACAAAATTATCAAAATAACTGTTCAGCTTAGATGCTGGGAACTTTGGAGTCATTGTAGTAGTCCTCCTAGTAAGCAAGCTCCTTTCTAGCCAGTTTGTGGTACTTCATTTGCCCTTGAGATGTCCCTTTGTAAATGTGTTCCGAAGTGTTTTCATCTGTGTTGGATGTGCCCCATCTAAATCATAAGCTTCTCAAATGCAAGCTACTAGCTAGTGACACTGAGAAGCTGTCCAGAACGCCATATACTAAATGTGAGAGTTCACGCATCACCTGGGAAGCCGATTTGCAAAGCAGGTTCCTAGGCCCACCTTAGACGCTGATTACACCCCCGGGTCCGCTGCAGGCTTCCGTGGCGCGCCGGCCAGGCACGGTCCTAATGCTTCAGTACAGGCCAAAGTAACGTGGAGTCACACAGCACGAAGTCCTACAAGCTATCAGGCATTTTCTGATTTTGATACAAGGGTAACTTTATTAAAGCAGAAAACTGAACATAATTTTAAAGGACATGGTTAAAAGGACTTCACCTCCATCATCTCTTCTAACTTATATCTTCATTGAGAAACTCTGCCAGGTTAAGTTTACTTTTTTCTAGTGCTGCTGTTTTGGCTCGTCTTGGCAATCTCATCTTCATTTCTGATTCTGGCTCTGGAATTTCAGGGTCACTAAATAGATGTTGAAAATACACCAATTTAAATACAAGCTTTAAAACAAGTTTATTTATCAATAAAACTTTTTGTTTCTGTCATTTTATCAGTGTGTAATTGATATCCTGATTTTACTAAGTTTTTAAAACTAAAACCACAAAAAGACTTATTGGCTGTCCTGCCACGTAAATCATGGAAAACCTAGCTAATTGCTTTTTATTTCTATATGGAACCTGGTATTATAAGGAAAAACAACATTTTGTAATGAAGTGACTAAATAGGAACAACTGCCCAAAAGAATTTTGGAGGACAACACAAAGTGAAAAAACATCTTACGTTCTCTTAATTTAGGTAATACATTCTTAAAACACTCTGTAAACAGGTTCCCAAGAAACATTTTAAATTTAGTCAAAATTTAACCTAAAGCTATATACTGAAAATATGCACATTACAATTTTACCAATAGATGAACGCAAGGCAACTACAAAGTTTCAGCTCACAACAGTGGCTTAATTGGCAGAATCTAAAAATAAACACTACGCCACAAATATATACAATTTACAATGATAGAGTAATCCTGCTTGTAAATATCAAGAACCCAAATCTAAATCCTTTAAGAGTTTGCTAATTCAAAGATCGGAGAGTCATACACACAATCCTGTAGTTAGAAGCATACATGGATATATAAACTCAAAGGACGTATTAAAGACGACCACCTAGGACTATGGGCCATCCCAGTAGGAAAAGCACACAAGCCATGGGAGGTCAAATGATCTTGATAATGGAATTCTAGACTATATATATCCAAGACCTTGCGATTTACAGTTTTTCACTGAGTATCTTATACATATTGAGTTCCTCTCCTTCACAGTGAAAGCAAACTACAATTTCTTTTCTACTCTCAGACCAAAAAAACACAAAAACACCACATCTATTTTCTAGATGTACATGGCATACCTTTCAGAGTCAACCTCCGCAGTCTGACGTCTCCTGTTCATCCTAGCTGAAGCTGTCACTTTTCTCCGTCCTTCAAGACAGTATACAATTCATTATCAAAATTCTCAATTGCTTACTGTTTCTATTTTCTAACCTACCCAAATCCTTCATTTTCCCTCTGCAACACATTTCTTCCTAGTTTCCAGCCATTTATTCATCTCTTTTGTAAGCTTGGGTAATAGGCAAAGGAAAATATGGAAATCAAATCAGAAGGAGGCAAATTTTAGTTAAATATATTTGGGAGAAAGAAGAATGTGAAAAACATGCTATGTAAAGAGAAGTACTTCTGCTATAACACATGACCTGTGGAGAAACTAATGAAAATTAAGGGGAGAAAAGGGGGGTATACCCATCAGCAGGCCCGGGAGAGAGAAAACTTTAATCAGTAAGGTAATGGCTTCTTACAAAATATTCAAATGTATACATGGCCAGTTCAAATATGTGTTATAAAACATTTTTCAGTATAAAAACTAGACCTTCTAACAATATGCTGAAGGTTGCAAAAATTCTACTTGCTAGAAACTTCCAAGGTTAAGAAGATAAAGTTTAGCCCATGATGCTCCCTCATTTATGATAAGAATCTGATCAAATTGCTCAGTATGAACATTTGGTTGAAATTTATATACCCTATTTATTATTCATTGAGACTTAACTGTTTTTGTCCAAAACCTTACGTATTTGCTCATAATGCTGCTAGCCCCAAGAAAACATCCAACAATATGGGACTAATTTGGAACAATACCCAACAATAAGCATGTAAATAAGTGATTGGCTACAAAAATATTATGGCCAGATTCCATTTAGAAAAAAATTAAATCTGCATAGGAAAGGGCCTACAAATTGTTTTTTAAGAATTAAAATAATGGTTGGCTTGTGGGTGGGATGATTAGCGTTCTTTATATTAGTTTGCTTGCATGTATTTTCTGATTCTTCTGTAATAAGCATGAACTGCTTTTGTAATAACAATAAAACAATAAAAAGATGTTGAATTTCAGATTTTTTTCCAAGTGATCCCCTGTCAACATTTTCTTTATTCCAACAAATCCCCTATTGTTGGATACCCCTTGGGAAATAAATGATGTTGAAAAATTATGAAATAAAATGGGAAAAAGGAAAACAGAAGCCCAGACAAGTACTACAGGGATAAAAGGTTTTCAAAAGTGCTTAATCATATAAAGGATAGAATATAACCAGCTAATAATAAAAAATCATCATTGATCATCTGATAAAAAAAATCTTAATTTAACCCAAATAGTCCTTTGCAATATGATACATTGCATCATATCTCTCAATCAAAAGCACTTGGAGCAACACTGGTATTAGAATCTTTTAGACACAAAGCAA